TTTGACAGTCATTCACTGACCTGCCCCAGCTAAATCAAGCAGGAAATTAGGAGACCAAGGAGGGGCCATGAAATGTCATGAGCATGTTGGGGTTAAGAGAATCCCAGGACATTTTTTACATACATTGAAAGCAAGAAGATAACTGGGAACAAGAAGATAACTGGGAAGAGGGTAGGACCATGCAAGGATAAAGGAGGGAACTTGTGCTTGGAGGCAGAGGATACGGGTGGGATCCTAAATGAGTACTTTGCACTGGTATTCACCAAGGAGAAGGCCGTGGACGATAGTGAAATTCATGTGGAGCATGCTAATATACTAGGGCATTTTGAGGTCAAGAATGAAATGGTGTTGGGTCTCTTGAGCATTGAAGTGGATAAGTCCTAAGGGCCTGATTGATAACTACTCCAGGTTATTGAGAGAGGCAAGAGAGGAGATTGCTGGGGCCTTGACTTAGATCTTTGTATCCTCTCTAGCACATGGACAGGTCCTTGAGGTAGCTAATGTTGTTCCTCTGTTCAAAAAGGAAAATGGGGATAATCCAGGAAATTATATACCAATGAGTCTCGCATTGGTGGATGTGATTCTATTGGAGAGGATTCTTAGGGATAGGATTTACGTGCATTTGGAAAAGCAGGTAATTAGGGATAGTCAGTGTGGCTTTGACAGGGCTGGTCATGTCTTACTGACTTCATTTTTTTTTTAGAAATTTTAGAAAGGTATGATGCTAGTGATAGGGGTAGAGCAGTGGATGTTGTTTACTTAGATTTTAGTAAGGCTTTTGACCAGATCCATCCTGGTAGGCTCATCGAAAAGATTAGAATGTATGGGATCTAAGGTGAATTGCCCATTTGGATTCAGTATTGGCTTGCCCATAGAAGGCAGAAAATAGTGGTGGAAGTGTTTGTTGGCTGATGCTCCTGCAGGCATTCGTACTGGGACCTCTGCTGTTTGTGATATCTGTAAATGACTTGGATGAAAACATAGATGGATGAGTTCGTAGGTTTGCAGATGACGCAAAGATTGGGGGAATTGTGGATAGTGTAGAAGGTTGACAAAGGATACAGTGGGAAATAGATCAGTTGCAGATGTGGGCGGAGTAATAGCAGATGGAGTTTAACCTGGGCAAGTGTGAGGTGTTACACTTTGGGAGATCAAATGTTGAGGAAAAGTGTACGTGCAATGGCAAGACCTTTTTAACAGCATTGATGCACAGAGGGATTTTGAGGTCCTAGTGCATAGCTCCACGCAAGTAGATAGGTTGGTAAAGATGATGTATGGCATGCTTGCCTTTATTGGTCAGGGCACTGAGTACTAGAGTCAGGAAGTAATGTTTCAGAGATAGTAGGAACTGCAGATGCTGGAGAATCTGAGATAACAAGGTGTAGAGCTGGATGAACACAGCAGGCCAAGCAGCTGACGTTTTGGGCCTAGACCCTCCTTCAGAAATCTTGGAAGGTCCTAGGCCCGAAACATCAGCTTTCCTGCTCCTATGATGTTGCTTGGCCTGCTGTGTTCATCCAGCTAAACACCTTGTTATCTCAGGAAGTAATGTTGCAGCTTTATAAAAATTTGGCTAGGCCGCACTTAAGAGCATTGTGGCCAGTTCCAGTTGCCACATTGCAGGAAGGATGTGGAGGCTTTTGTGTGGATGTCAGTGGTATACCAGGGTGCTGCCTGCATTTGAGGGTATAAGCCACAATGAGAGACTGGACAAATTAGGGTTGCATTGTCTGGAGCAGCGGAGGCTATGCGCAGCCCTGATAGAAATCTATAAACTTATGAGATGCATAGATAAGTGTTGACAATCAGAATCTCTTTCCCAGAGTTAATAGCTAATACTAGAGGGCATAGATTTAGGTGAGGGGGAAAAGTTCAAAGATGATGTTACGGGCAATTTTTTTTAATATACAGTGGTAGGTCCCTGGAACATAGTGCCAGGAGTCGTGGTGGAGGTGCGTACAATAGGGGCGTTTAAAGGGCTTGTAGATAAGCACATGATTAAGCAAGGAGCGGAGGGATATAGACCATGGTCAAGCAGAAGGGATTAACTTAATTTGGCTTCATGTTCGACACAACATCGTGGGCCAAAGGCCTTGTTCCTGTGCTGGACTGTTCTATGTTTTATGATCTAAATGTTGCTGCCAAATCACATTCTACACACGTGGCCCAAGGTAAGGCTGTCTACAAACATCTTCCTCTATTGCTTGAACAAGGCAACAGTTTAACATCAAATACAATCGGTTTTGGTAACCTTTTATTGAGTTTTCCAGCATTTTGTTTTTTTATTTCAGATTGTCAGCATCTGTAATATTTTGCTTTTATTCCTGCAATTGAGTTATTTTGTTATGAGGAGAAATTTGGGAAATAGGGCATATACTCTGCACAACTTCAAGTAATGGGAGGTTACCTCAATTGAAGTTTATAAATTCCTTACAGTACAAGACAGGTGGATGTTTATAGAATGTCTCCCTGGATGGGGAGTCTAGAACCAGGGGCATCTTCACTGGCTTTTAGGCTAATTAAGACTGAGACAAAGAGGAACTTCTTCATTCGGAAGGTAGCAATTCTTTGGAATTCTCTACCCAGAGCTGTCAAGGCTCGGTTATATTGAAGCCAGAAAGTCATGGGTTTCTGGTGACTAATGACATCAAGCGATATGAAGATGGAGCAGGAAAATGGCGTTGAGGTAGAAGACCACTCATGATCTAATTGAATGGAGCAGCAGGTTCAATGCACTGGATGGCTAATTTCTGTTCCTATGACCAAGGCCTTCTACCCTGTTCCAGTGAAGGTGGATGTAAGCTTGACATAGAACACCTTGTCTTTCAATAAGACATTGTTCACTACTTGTCTCAACATTTTGAGTTCAACAATTTCATACCATAAACTCTGCCTGCCTCCATTTTGTTTCCTTACCCAATCATGTTTTAATATTTGCCTCATTTTAAGTTTAAAACTGAATTACACCCTTGGATATTTTGTATTTCTTTTGTTTTTCTTGCCCTATCATAACATTTTCTGCCATTCTGTTTCTCCTGTCCTCCATCCTATCACAGATTTTCCTTTTGTCTTTGTCCAACCCACCCCGTGCTCAAAATGTGTTACATTTCAAACTTTTACCAGTTCTGATGAAAGGTCACAGACCTGAAACTCTCTTTCTCTATCCACAGACAGTGCATGACCTGCTGAGTATTTCCAGCATTTTTCTCCTGTATTTTTCATTTCAACATATGCAGAATTCCACATTTTTGATTAAACTTATTTCTGCATTGTTGTCAGATTACAAACTAAATCACCCTGTTTCGAATCTACATCAGATGAACAGCTCTCTGTCCAAATATTTCTGTTGGAAGAAATGTAAAAGTGTTCATTTAAACATTCCTGTTGAAACGTCTTGTGGCAAATGTGAGTAAATAATGTATTTGGTTGTTATTGGCCATGTTGTCCTTGCATTTTATTGGGATTGTGGTGAACGTTTAAGTGAAGCTCACAAATTAGTGATATGTAGAAATAGCTTGTTCCCATTTCAGAGATAATTTTGTCAAATTGCTTGGTTTTATTTGCAATAATTACATTGTGCACAAAAGAGAACAAAAACTTAAACAATGTTTTTACCAAAGCCAGCACATTTCCCAATGTGGTGAATCAGAAGCTTGCATGTTGTGTCATCACACTGATTGCTACTTTGTGGAATGTGCCTTGATGTGTTGTAAAGAATCTCTCCAACCTTTCTCCTGTTTTATTAATCCCTATTATTGACATTGGTCATTTCTTAGGCTGCTGCGTGGGCCAGTTGAAAAATTCCTAACTACTGTGGTATGGAGCTTTTATGCACTTTCATTGGCAGAAAGTCCAATTTCTCAACAAGGTTCAAGAATGTTTTCCTGTTTACTGGTGATTCTTTCTGCAAGGCACCATGTTAACCATTGAATCACCAAAACAGAAATATAGTGACAGTTGACCGCAATTAAATGTTCTTTGCCGTTTTATTGGACAATTATTTGATAGTGATTAGAATTCTAAATATACTGTGATTGTTTTTTTAATCTCTTAGAACCACAATTAACACTTTAACGTCAATTCTTTGTCAAGTTATTTTAATTATCACTTGTAATTCATGTTTCTTGGAATCACTTGAGGCTTTCTTTTGTGGATCACTGATTCTACCTTTCTGTAAGCTAATTTCGTAGTGAAAATGAAGTATCATTGTGTGCTTTGGTACCAGCACTAACTGTTCCTACCAACTCAAATGAGTTGATACTGTGTTGTTGGATTAGTGTATTTGCATTGCGACGCTACCCCATAACTTGCTGAAAAGCCTCTGCGTGTACAAGGATAACGATATAGGTGATACATGACAAAATAGTTGTCTCCTCAGCTGAACTCAAGCTTTTGAATTGATAGTCATTCATGTTGACAACTGCACAAGAACCCCATATCTGGAATTGACAACACAACAAGAATAAGCCTCTTAAATTATAGTTTCACTTTTTAACAGGGTGACCCAAAAGTGCTACTTTGCTGAATTTTTGAAATCATTGCATTAGTCTCTGAACTAATTGAGAAGCAAAGAGGACGAGTTTGCGTGGCTTGGCTCTCAGTACCACAAAAGTGATTGATTGACATCATTGAGTATGAGACTAGAATGTTTTGTTCACACATTTCATGAGAGCCATGGTGAATCATTATCGTATTTAACTGTCTTTGAATTTGCATTCATCAGACTGGTGCTCCTGACAGTGCAGTTCTCCCTCAGTACTGCACTGCAATGTCAGCTTTGATTTTACGTTCAAGTCCTGGGTTACAGAGTGTATTTGGGTTGAGTAGTGAAAAGATACCAGATATGTTGATGAGTCTCTTTGCATCGTGGCATTTATTTTTGCAGAATGTACTCTCAATCTTGTCTGCTTAGATTTTGGTTTGTACTGAATCTCCTGAACAAATTATTTTGGTGCACAATGGCAAACACTTCTGGTCTAATGAGTTTTTTTTCTCAACAGTCAATAGCGTCTGCAGACATGGATTTCAACCAGCTGGAAGCCTTCTTAACAGCACAGACCAAGAAACAAAAAGGAATTACAGCGGAGCAGGCGACCGTTTTAACAAACTTCTGGAAAACTCATAAAGTTAAAATCCGGGAAAGTCTTATTCATCAGAGCAATTGGGAGAACTGCCTGAGGAATTTGAGTTGGAGAGTTGACCTGAAGTCTCAGTCCAGACATTTAGATCAAATAAACACACCGGTTGCTATTGTGGAGTTTGAACTTGGTAAGAATGGTCAGGTAAGAATGCAATCTGCGTTTTGGATCGTGACACTAAAAAGTGAAGAATCTGAAAATAATTCTCATATTCTCACTGAATAAAAGTCAAAATCCAAAGATGTATTAAAAGGTCATTTCGAAAAATATGAAAATATACATCCTGAAGTTAATTTTTTAACACAATTTTTCTCCCACAATTCCTGTTTCCTTCCCCTTTCCCAAAGGCATTGACTCCCTTCTGAAGCAGTTACATAGTATTGTGTATCCCTTGGTAACTAATTTAAATGACTGTGTATTCCCCATGTGTCATTCTTGTGTGAAATACCGGAAAGCAATCGGACTGTGGAAGGAAACGGGGAGGTAGACAATCATATCTAATTCCAATCCTGTTCTCTGTGGGCAATTGTTTAGATGCACCTTCAGCAGGAATTGACAGATGATCAGTAAGGAGCTTTTTTTTGGCTTTTCCCCGCCCACCCCACAAAAACCTTTGGAATGTATAGATGCTAATCACTACCTCAACTACTGTTTAGAATAAGCTCACTTTTGAGTCTGTTAAGACATATTCAGTGAGCTGAATGGCCACCTCTTGGTGCTATGCTGTTCTTTCAAATAGTGAGGAGTTGCTACTACTCATTATTAATAAGCAACGTTAGAGGCTGGAATTTTAATTTCAAGGGCAGTTGCATCTATGTTTTTAAAATGTCTTTTAAACCCGTTCCCCGTGATTGTTTGAGTGTTTGTAGATTAACGTGTTGAACAGAAATCCATCGGAGGATAACTATAAAACAGCACTTTTGGGTACAAGTTTGTTAAACCATTTTCCCCTTAAACCTCCCATATGTTAGCCATTTTTCCCCCAATCTCCTTTTAAGAAGGTCTTCAAGTTGTTGACAGCCTTAGTATGGCTGAACAGGTAACAATTACTATTTAAAACCTCAGAGATAGTAAGAACTGCTGATGCTGGAGCCACAGATAACAGTGTGGAGGTGGAGGAGCACAGCAGGCCAGGCAGCATCAGAGGAAATTCTTTTCTGAAGAAGGGTCCCGACCTGAAGCGTCAACTTTCCAGCTGCTCTGATGCTGCCTGGCCTGCTGTGCTCCTCCAGCTCCACACTTATCTGTATTTAAAACTTACCTCGTTTGTGTTTCGAGTTCAATTAAATACCATATGGTACGCTACTTAATATGATAACTACCCATGGTGTTGCAATAATATATTAGCATGGATGGAGGATTGACTAACTAATAGAAGATAGAGAGTTGGGATAAGTGGGGGGCATTTTCAGGATGGCAACCTGTAACTGGTGAAGTCCCACAGGAATCCGTGCTGGGGCCACTCTTGTTAACCTCCTATATTAATGACTTGGATCAGAGAAGTTAACATACTGTTGTTGTTTTTAATGGTTTGTATTCACAGTTGAGCAGTGGACAATTGAATGCAATTTCCTGAATTTATCGCATTTAGGAAGCTGTAGTCTGGATGTGATTTATTCCTTAGATAAAGAAAGGTTACAACTGTGACAACTAGGGATGGTTCACTGATACAAGAGGATAAATGGCTGTCGGCGTAGAATACTTCATTCTGTTAAAGTTGTGGGGACAACATCCTGCTGTCTAACTGAGGTGTTAGGCAACCCTTCGGTCTTTTTCCTTTGCTTCTGGTCCATCTTCCATCTGCCCGAGAAGACTGTTTGATGAAGATTGCTCTTGTCTCTGCAAGATTGCTTAATCAGAACTGCTGACTTGGAGAAATTCCCTTCTGCCCTGAGTCTACTGTTTTCTTGGTCCCCGCACAGATCCACCAAGGTGGATTTGACCTAGCCTCAGCGCAGCTTTTCCAGCATAGATTTTGCTTCTCTAACTTTCTTGGCCCCAGTGTCGTTATTCCAGCGTGCTGGCCCTGTGGGCTTCCCCCAGTACCTTCTCTCCTGAGTGTTCCTTTCTGAACCTGGCACTTATTGTTATATCATATTTCTAGGACACATTATTTTCTGTGTTAATCAAGTGTCTGAGCCCTTCTGGCTAATGGCCATGGGACAACCATTCATGACATTGGATGTTCGTTGTCTCCTGCCTGCCTTCAGCTGAGGGTTAGTTTGCCATACTTTCTAAGCTCATTTTGGGAAAAAAAAACAGTGATAACAGGGTGCATTTGGCACCAGATAACTGTTGTTGCTAGCCTTGGGCATCATGACTTGTGTGTCTTTGTAATTCTGCCCTTTGTTTTCATATGCTAGAACTTTGGAAAGTTAAGTACTGCTCTAATAGCTGTTAAATTAAATCTCATGCTACACAGTAAGTACTCGGAAAATTCGGTTTTTGAGAGACCCTTGAACAGTACTATCATCAAGTTTGCAGATGACACAAAAATAATGAGGATGGCACAGAGGCTACACAGGGATATAGACAGGTTAAGAGAGTGGGCAGAAATTTGTCAGATGGAACATAACATGGGAAAATATGACCTTATGTACTTTGGCCAAGGGCATAATCTCAGAAGAAGGGGTTGCACGTTTAAGACAACGATGAGAAATTTCTTCTGTAAGGGTAGTGAATCTGGAATTCTTTACCGCAGAGGGCTGTTGAGGCTGGATTATTAACTATGTTCAAGGCTGAGTTTGACAGATTTTTAATCAGCAAGGGAATCAAGGGTTATGGGAGTTGCAGATCAACAGATGAGCCATGATCTCAGTGAATGACCAGCTCAGACTTGATGAACCAGGAAGCAGTGGCCGAGTGGTATTGTCACTGGATTGTTAATCAAGAGACCCAGATAATGTTCTGGGCACCTGGGTTCGAATCCCGCCACAGCAGGTGGTGGAATTTGAATTGAATAAATATCTGGAATTGACAATCTAATGTTGTCTATGAATCCATTGTCAATTGTCAGAAAATACCCATCTGGTTCACTCATGTCCTATAGGGAAGGAAACTGCCATCCTTACCTGATCTGGCCTACGTGTGACTCCAGACCCACTGCAATGTGGTTGACTCTTAACTGCCCTCTGGGCAATTAGGGATGGGCAATAAATGCTGCCTAGCTAGTGATGCCCTCGTGCCGTGAATGAATTAAAAAAAACCAAATTGCCTACTTCTGCGTCTTATTGTCTTCAGTCTGGATGATGCTTTACCATCTTGTTCAAATGTAGATCTGTCAAAGCCCAACTGTTGCTGTCTACGCATTTCCATCAGAATTATCTAACTCAATATGGAGTTAAAGTGGCACTTTAACACACCAGCCTATTCCCTTGCTGGTCCAACACATCTGTCTCTGGCTTGTTAAGTGTTGAGTACTTCAGATGGGTCAGTTTTTGTCCAATGTGTGCAGGAGGGTTTCCTGACACAGTATGTAGATGGGCCAACAAGAGGCGAGGCCACATTGGATTTGGTACTGGGTAATGAACCAGGCCAGGTGTTAGATTTGGAGGTAGGTGAGCACTTCGGCATTAGTGACCACAATTCGGTTACGTTTACTTTAGCGATGGAAAGGGATCGGTATATACCGCTGGGGGAAAGGCAATTATGAGGCGATGAGGCAAGATTTAGGATGCACAGGATGGAGAAGGAAACTGCAGGGGCTGGGCACAATTGAAATGTGGAGCTTGTTCAAGGAACAGCTGCTGCGTGTCCTTGATAAGTATGTACCTGTCAGGCAGGGAGGACGTGTTCGAGCGAGGGAACCGTGGTTTACTGAACAAGTTGAATCTCTTGTCAAGAGGAAGAAGGAGGCTTATGTAGAGATGAGGCGTGAAGGCTCAGTTAGGGCGCTTGAGAGTTACAAGTTAGCCAGGAAGGACCTAAAGAGAGAGCTGAGAAGAGCCAGGAGGGGACATGAGAAGTCTTTAGCAGGTAGGATCAAGGAAAACCCTAAAGCTTTCTATAGGTATGTCAGGAATAAAAGAATGACTGGAGTAAGATTGGGGCCAGTCAAGGACAGTAGTGGGAAGTTGTGCGTGGAGTCCGAAGAGATAGGAGAGGCACTAAATGAATATTTTTCGTCAGTATTCACACAGGAAAAAGACAATGTAGTCGAGGAGAATACTGAGATACAGTCTATTAGACTAGACGGGATTGAGGTTCATGAGGAGGAGGTGTTAGCAATTCTGGAAGGTGTGAAAATAGATAAGTCCCCTGGGCCGGATGGGATTTATCCTAGAATTCTCTGGGAAGCTAGACAGGAGATTGCAGAGCCTTTGGCTTTGATCTTTATGTCGTCATTGTCTACAGGAATAGTGCCAGAAGACTGGAGGATAGCAAATGTTGTCCCCTTGTTCAAGAAGGGGAGTAGAGACAACCCTGGTAATTATAGACCAGTGAGCCTTACTTCGGTTGTGGGTAAATGTTGGAAAGTATTATAAGAGATAGGATTTATAATCATCTAGAAAGGAATAATTTGATTAGGGATAGTCAACACGGTTTTGTGAAGGGTAGGTCGTGCCTCACAAACCTTATTGAGTTCTTTGAGAAGGTGACGAAACAGGTGGATGAGGGTAAAGCGGTTGATGTGGTGTATATGGATTTCAGTAAAGCGTTTGATAAGGTTCCCCGTGGTAGGCTATTGCAGAAAATACGGAGGCATGGGATTGAGGGTGATTTAGCGGTTTGGATCAGAAATTGGCTAGCTGTAAGAAGACAGAGGGTGGTGGTTGATGGGAAATGTTCATCCTGGAGTTCAGTTACTAGTGGTGTACCTCAAGGATCTGTTTTGGGGCCACTGCTGTTTGTCATTTTTATAAATGACCTGGATGGGTTAGTAAATTTGCGGATGACACCAAAGTCAGTGGAGTTGTGGATAGTGCGGAAGGATGTTGCAGGTTACAGAGGGACATAGATAAGCTGCAGAGCTGGGCTGAGAGGTGGCAAATGGAGTTTAATGCGGAAAAGTGTGAGGTGATTCACTTTGGAAGGAGTAACAGGAATACAGAGTACTGGGCTAATGGTAGTGTGGATGAGCAGAAAGATCTCGGTGTCCATGTGCATAGATCACTGAAAGTTGCCACCCAGGTTGATAGCGTTGT